TGAGAAATAGCTTCTGTCAAGAGGGGACAGTTTGCACAAAGGTGCAAGAGGCTAGAGAACGTGAAGAACCATCAGTCTTCTCACTGGCCAGGGGGCAGGCCTGTGCAGGACCCCGGTTTCCAGAGGAAGCCTTTAACGTCTGTAACATCCTTAGTGGAAGCTTAATGTGTAACATGGACGTGGAGATGTAAAGGGCCAGGTGGCAAATATTTTAGGCTTTACAGGCCACAGGGTCTCTTGCAACTACTCAGCTCTGCTGTTACAGTGCAAAAATAGCCATAGACAGTAGTACAGAAATGATGTGGCCATGTTCCAATAAAATTTCACTTACAAAAACAAGGCCTAGCCTGCAGGTCATAGCTTGCTAACTGCTGCTCTAGTTGAAATGCCCAAGGGGAGCCTGCAGTGTCACTCACTTTTTCCCCCTTCTCCCTGAACCCCTCTTCCTCAGTTCTCAGTAACCTTTTACTAGGCCTGCCAGGATGGGCGGTGCGTGCTAAAATCACTTTAATCTGATGTCTCTGTAGGCTGTGTAATATAGAAAGGATTGGAACAGGGAAGATATAGCCATTCTGGGGCTACATTCTGTAGCCATTCTGTAGTTCACAAAATTATTAACCCTTTTAACACACTAATTTGTTTCCTCCCACAGAAAAACGCACACATGCACAACTTTGCAAATGATTTCAGAGGCTGATGGTTGCTTTGAAATGCAGCCATGAACCCCAGGTTGAGAACTCTGTGCTCACAGGCTTTCCTGGATGCCCTGTGATGTTTTAAAGGATCACTAAGGCTGCTGAGAGTGACCCCACATTTCCCGATTCTCCCGCTGGTGCCTGAGGGAGTGAGGTGTATTCAAGTACTTCACACTCTAACATCCTCCTCCCATGTAGATAAAGGTTGTATATTACTAGTTTAAACTAAAAGCAATGGAATGTCTCCATTTAATTAAGTGCACATACCATAGCTCCATCCGTCCATTCCTCTCTGTCTCCCCCACTTCCTCCCTGTTAAGCCATCCCAGTCTCTTTCCTGGATCATGGGAGTTGGTATCCTGTCTCCCTGCCTTCATTCTTGATTCCCACATTCCTCTCTGCCCAGCAGCCTGGTTGATCTTTTTAAAGCATGAGTCAGATATCACTCCTCTGCGTTACTGCCTCTGACAGCTTCCCATCGTGCTTGGAATAACACCCCAACTCTTCACTTTGGCTTCAGAGCACTTGCAGAGCAAGCCCTTGCATTTAGCAGACACGGTGGACTGTGCTGGCCCAGTGCTCTGCGCGGTCCTCTCGGGCAGGGATGCTTCTCTCTGCCAGGCCTGTCCTGTTATTCAGCTTCTCAGCCTGAACTTTCTTTCTCTGAGGCTCCCTGAACACCCATCGAAAGCAGCCTTCGATTTTCTTTTTGTTACTCGATTTTAATTCTTTGCATAGCCATTTTTGCCCTCTGTCTCTTCTTGGTTCATTGGTGTGCTGTCTGTCCCTTCATTAGAATGTAGGCTCTGTGGAGCCTAGGACATTGTCTTTTGTCCACCTCTCTGTCCTGGACATTTGAACAGAGCCCGCGCCCCAGCAGGTGTGCGATGAGCCTCTGGTGAGTGAGTGACTTCCCGGACTTCCTCTCAGGTTTGGCGCCCAGGCTGCAATTGAACTGCTGTGTTCCTCCTCCCTGTTTTCACCTGTCCTGCGTTACCTACTAGGCCCTGCTCTCATATTCTGGCCTGGCCCTCCAAGCAGTCTGGGGTTGCCATCCATTTCCGTTGTCACTCTCTGAACTGGTTTTATCCTGTTGTTCACTCCACTCCTCAGTCTGCCTCCAGCAGACCGGGGTCCAGCCAGGTCTGTCTGTCAGTTCACAGCAGAGGACGTGGTGGCCATGAGCTCAGCTCTCAGACATACCTCGTTTCATTCGTAGTGTTTTAGTAACCTAGCATCTAAAAGTAGGAGATTACTTACAACAACCCAGATTGTCTGACCTCCCCTTAGTAATCGGAACATCTGATAACGCTGGCCCCTGATGGTGGCTCACGTCACATGCCAGGCCACAGGAGCTGTGGTGGGGGGACGGCGATCCTCTTCTGCTCCTACCCAAACTCACTCAAGTGCACTCCCTTCCGTCAGGACCCTTGCTTCAGAGCATCTGCCCAGAGCTTCGGAGTGCACTTCAACATCAGTTTCTCCAAATCGTACCGACAGGAACTCCGCAGTATACCCATCACATCCGAGGCCCTTTCCATAAACCCTGATCACGTTGTGAGGCAGAATGATTTCCAGTAAGCAATTGTTCGTAGTAGTATATCTTATTAGGTGCCGTACTCCGGGCAGAGAACAGGGCCCTGCTGAAACAGGATGCCAGGCACTTGGGAAGGGACCTGGGTATGTGTTGCTACTGAGGGAGGGTGCCCAGCATCAAGGAACAGCAGGAGGATACTGAGCCCTAAAAGTATGGGAGGAGGGTGGGTGATAGAAGGGAAGTGCCTACATTTTCTGAGATTACCTTGAGGGGTGGAGCTTTTAGCTAGAATATTTGTGCGTTTTAAATGGTCTTTGTAAGGTAAAAATCAGCAAGAAGAATTTCATTTGGGTCGTTGAATAAATAAAAATTCTACCTAGGTAGAATAAAAGATTCAAGACATTCTCAGCAACATAAAAGTAAGTGAGCTAGCTATTTTACCTTTACTGACTTTTTTTTTTCAGCAAAACGTCTGAGCATTCCCTTTGGCATTTACAGTAGCTGCCTTTCTCCGAGGCCCCCTCTTTTCTTTGGCTTTCTGTAAAGATGCAGAGCAGGAAAGTAGGGTTCTGTTGATGAGTGCAGACAGGAGTGATTCCTGGCCCGGCTCCTGCAGTGGGGAGCAGAGCTAAAGACAGGGGTGACCACTGGCAACTTACGTGCAGAGAGCAAATGGTAACAGCCGTTTTGCTGAGTTATTTTTAGGGGACGCGGGCGTTAGTTTTATTCCAGTGTGTGACAAGCTGTTATTTGGAAGCAAACTAATGTCGCACATTGAAAAGAAAGTACACTATAAAACAGGCACTATTTACGCTGTATCTGAGTGTAAAATCTAATTTTTGGTTTTTATAACATTGATGTGTTTTTAAATTATTGGAACTTTTACATAAATTTATGTTGAAGCCAACAGAAACTTACAATTGACCATCAGAAAAACACAAACTTAATTTTAGAAGTAAAACTTGAATGTGTGAGAGTGAAAAGATGAAAAATTTATATTAATTTTTAAAGCTAAATTGTTAAATTTAAAAAATTCAGTGTACTCACATTAGTATTCATTGATGTAAAATCCGTATAATAACCAGAATTGGCAGCAGTAGCCATGATAATGCTCCACTATGTAGCTACATTTGTAGTTTTAAATTCATCGTGTTCCTCATACTCTGAGCAGAGTTCAGACGATGAGGACTGTTCAGCGAAAGGCAGGAACCGGCACATCGTCATCAATAAAGCGGAGCTGGCGAACGCCATGGAGGTGCTGGAGAGTTTCAAGTTGGCCAGGGAGAGCTGGGAGCTGCTCTGCTCCCTGGAATTCCTCGACAAGGGTAAGAACGTGTCTGTCCTGTTGGTGGGTTTGGTTTTTCATACAAAATCATTCTGCTAAAAATATTATTCTATTTGAAATGTCGAGTCACATATGGCTAATTAAATTGATTACAGTAGTTCCACGTATTTTAGGATTCTTTTGAGCAAGACAGCTAATCAGTTATTCATATTAAAATAACCATTTACTTCTTAGCTTCTACTCTGAGGGTATATTAGAAGTCCGGTTGGGGTGAAGTTTGAGAGAGAGTTTTTGGTCTTTTAAAATTTGTATTGCTGGCCTTTTTTTTTTCTTACTATGCATGTTTTGTGCTTCTGCTTGTCCTGCCCTCTTGCTTTGTATCTCCTTACACCACGTTACTGAGAACGCAAAAGCTAATGCTGCTTTTATCCAAACGTTAACTCCACTGCCCGGAAGCCTCCAAATCCAGATGCTACAGACAGTCTCTGCTCTTTTATGTGGAGACGTACTTATTAGCTGAATAATATTGAAATATTAAGTATTTCAACGTTTCTTAGAAATGACCAGCACTTTGCTAACCGACGTACTTTCACTGACCGTTTGAGCCGAGGCCCATCACTTCCTTTTGGCCAGTGGACATCCCGCCCTTTACAGGGCCCTCGGCCCTACTTTCTAGGTAAACAGAGCATCATTCTCTTTCTCCTTGCCACGTATAGAACTGTGAACACGGATGTGACTTTCCCTTTATCTACATGTAGTCTTTTGAAAAATGAGTAAAACTCTTAGTGCCACATGTTGTTTTAACTGGGTAAAAATAAAACAAAATCTTCTGGGATGAGGGGAGCAAAGTGGTTTAAAACATAAATGGGGGCCCTGACTGGTGTGGCTCAGAGGGTTGGGCATCATTCACAAACCGCAAGGTCGCTGGTTCGATTCCTGTCAGGGCATGTGCCTGGGTTGCAGGCCTGGTCCCCAGTTGGGGGCATGCAAGAGGGGGCACCCATTTGATGTTTCTCTCCCCTTCTTTCTTCCTTCCCCTCCCTCTAAAAATACATAAAATCTTTCAGAAAAATAAAAGATAAATAAGGTAATATGTGAAAAGCATTTTGAACGGTTCTTGGCACGTGGTATGTGCTTGGTAAATGCTGGTGCCTAATTGAAAGCATGCTGTGGATGACTGGTAAGTACTGTATTTTAACTTCATTATCTAATTGGAGTTCTAGGCCATTGCTTTAGAAATTAAACTCTGAAGTTACCGTCCACTTTTTGGTAATTTGTCTCTCTGACAGTTGTTCACTCTTGCTGAGTTTATTGGTTTTGTTTCCTGCTTCTGTGTTACATATTTTTGGTAAATTTGCTTTGAATTCTCGCTCAGAATTTACAAGAATTTGTTTGGCATGGAAGACGGATACTTGGCTTTGGTTAAGAATCTTCCTCACTGACATGATCATCTATCAGGTAGAGTAACGTGTATGCCAAGTACCTGTGTCTGTGCAAGATGCTTGTTGCTGCGAGCCATCGGCATGCAGGACGCCGCGTTCCCTCCGGGTCGCGGCTCCGTGCTCTGAGGACAGACGTCTGTCTTCAGGGGCAAAGGAATTAGGTCCGCGTGCATCTCGTAACAACTCCCAAACGGCACGGCTGCCTCTTCCGTGTTCCTTCTGGTATCCCCAGTCCATTCCTTTGTAAAAACAAGATTTTTACTTTTGAGTAAAAGACGGATACCTCCCCCGCTCCTGCCCCCTACTCCAATGGAGTCTTTCTGCTTCACTCTGCTGTTCCCGAGCTCCTTAGGCCTAGAATGGGGAGAGCAGCTAATTCCCTGCTGGGATGGCGAGCTTCCAGCTGCTGTTGTTGAAATGGGCAGGTCGCTGCTTCCATCCTTCATCAGAGAAGTGGTATTAGTAGTAAAGTATTCATGGAGAAATGGTATATTCAAAATGTACTTTATCAAAGGGCTTGTGTTATTTTATTTAGTCTTAAGGATTAAGACCAGCCCTGGCTGATGTGGCTCAGTGGATTGAGCATTGACCTGCACACCGAAGGTTCGCTGGGTTCAATTCCCTGTCAAGGCACAGGCCTGGGTTGCAGGTCCCCAGTTGGGGGTGTGGGAGAGGCAGCCGATTGGTTTCTCTCAAACATGGATGTTTGTCTCCCTCTCTCAGTCCTTTCCCCTCTCTCTAAAAGTAAAAACATATGTATATATATGTATGTATGTATGTATGTATGTATATTCTTAATGTCTATTAAGAAAAACAAGGAGCAGCGCTGGCCTTACTGAGAAGTCCGTTCTGCTTTGTAGACTGTGAATCCTACATCACTACCCCTACACAAGCTTAAAAAAATTTAAAAAAAAAAAGATTTATGACCAGAAGGACTGTTGCTAAGTCTCCTTTTTCCTGCTCAGATGGTCAAGCAGAGTTACCTTGTTTGTAGTTACCTGCTGGTTGCCCAGTTAAATTAGGAGGTTTTTTTAATGGCAGTGTTTTTTTCCTTCTTGCTGTTATGTCTTTCTCAGGGTCAGTACAAAAAGGCAATAGCCAGCCTGCATCATTTAGCAGCCCTCCAGGGATCCCTTCCTCAGCCACAGATCTCGGGACAGGGAACCTTGGAGCATCAGAGGGCGCTCATTCAGCTAGCGACCTGCCACTTTGCCCTGGGGGAGTACAGAGTGAGTACCGCACCCCTGGCTCGGGCCCTCCGCTGCACTCAGCCGCCCGGGGCTTTCTCTCTTTCCTAGAGCGGCTTTTCCGTTCTGTGCATGTTTTCTTGAAATTTGGTCTTTCTGCCTAGATTTATTACCTAATCTGTTGGAAAATTATGGGGATTCTGTTTTACTTAATTTCCTCTTTGCAATAACTTCCCCGAAATTGGGCTTTGGTGCTTTATCATTATTCCCTTTTGTTGGAGGATTTATTTTATTTTTACTTTCTTGCCTGGCGTCCCTTTAGAGTGGAATCAGTGCTGTCGTACTGGGCAGAAGGGGCCGTGACATTAGTTTATCCGAACCTCAGATTCTCCCCCACGGCGATAGCACCCCGCGGGGGTGCAGTAGGGGCGGTGCTTCTTCCGTGATCGTGAGCCCCTCCCACCAGAGTGGGGCCAGTGTTCTTACCCTGGGCCTTTCTCACAGCACCTGTCGCAGTGGCTTGCACAGCTTCTGTGCGCAATAAATGTTTGAATTCAGTTCGGACAGTCGGGCACGTTCGTCACACTACATGTGTGTGTACTGTGTGGATTGAAGGCTACAGCCTCACACACAGACTCCAGTTCTCATCTGTGTACATGTTAAATTGATTACTTAGTGGTTAAAAACCCTAAATTGAGGTTTTAATCTTGAACGTTGAAATATAATTTATAATTTGCCAGGAGTTTTAGAAACAATTAGAGAGCGTGTAGAGTTTGTGTGTTTCAAATTGAAAATGCATTTCCACCACTACATAGGTGATTCAGGTAGTTCCTTCTGCGAACCTGAGAGAACATGTGCTTCGCCCACGCATACACGTGCACCACGGAGAAGTAGACGGCTGTGCAGGGCGCTGCCGTCCTGCACTGTAGCAGGAAATACGAATAAACTGGTCCATTTAATTAAGCTAGGAACCCTCATTCTCTTGGAGAGCATCAGTCACACCTCTGAGCTGACCACTGTTGGGCCTGCTTGGTCTCTGACTTGTCCGATTCCCCAGTCTCTAACTGCATGTCTTCAGCTCAGACGCAACATGTCCAAAAATGAGCTTCCTTAGCTCTCTGGCCCTTCGAGGTGAAACATCCCAGTCATGGTTGACTCTCAACTCTAACCCTTTTGATTCTTCCAGAGTGATACTAACATCTTTGGTGTAGTGCCTTTAAGTTCCATTGCCACCACCCTGATCCATGGCCTTTAACGGAGTTTTTTGCATGTAACCTTTTCCCCATCCCTATAAATGATGGTCACTGCTTTCTACAGTATTGCTGTCAGCATTCCACTTACTTGAAAGATCGACGTTCTAGGTGCCCAGAGCTGAACCGTGTGCTGGGAAGGGGCATACAAGCAGGGTGCAGGTAAATCCTGCATTTGAGGATTTACCGTTGGAGTTGGAGAGAAGAGTGGACGACAGTTAAAAATGCAATATTAAGTGGCAAACCTCAGATGTGTGCACAGGTGGGATTCAGAGAAGAGTGTGTTCACCAGGGTTCAGATAGTCAGGGGAAGGTGTATAGAAAAGGTTGGCAGCCTGGAACTCCAGAGTGCAAGTTCTGGCCTCTCCGCATCCAAGCCCTGTGACCTGGGCAAATTACCTGGACTGTCTAACTCAAGTTCAAGTTCTTAACAACCAAGCTGCCAGTCTCAGAGATAGAGCTTCACCACCCTGTAGCAGTGGAAGAGGGGAGGGAGGAGATACCCCCTCAGCCCTCAGAGCAGTTAGATGAGACCCGGGGCAGCTAGAGCCTCCAGGGCAGCTGCTGCCGGTTCTGGACAGCCTTGTACATATTTCTGTTACATGCCAAGACATGAAAACGCTTGGGAAGCATGGGTTTAAGACTTAACGTCCTCATTGTAAACGGAGATAATAAGAAGGTTGTGCCTGACACACAGAAAAATGTTACCTAAGTGGGATCCCGTTATTGTTAGTAGGTAGCCGAAGGTGAGCGGTGAGTGTGATGCCTTCTTCTCTGTGGCTTGACACCAGCCTGTTCTGTCCACCAGCGCTGCGTCTGTCCATCTGTCCCAAACCATCCCCTCCTCCCCTTCACGGAAGTCACCACAACAGATCTACAACCCTTTCCCCTAGCTTTCTCCCCTGCTTTGAAAATCTTTTTTTCTCTTTTCCACATTCTAAATTCTTCCCCACTTTAAAGCTAAGGTCAGAGTAACCTTCCTGCTATTATGTTTTAAATTCTGTTCTATGCTATGCTATTTAGTTCTCTACTGTTGTCCTATTCTGCTAATTTTTCTATCCAGTGTGTTAGTAAATGTGTTTAAGACAGAGACGTACTTATTTTGGGTGCCACTATGTTGTTTAACACCTTGGTAGTTTGATTAATACTTGATTACCTTGAAAGTTTTGTTCTTTTGTTTTTTAACAGCAGAAAATGAGTTATTGCTCCCTCAAGGTCTAGTGCATGGGTTTAATCTTGCTGTCACTTTCTCTGCATGCACCGTTGAGCAAACAGTACTGATCACTTGGAAAATCTTGAGATCACTTAGAGAATCAGGCCTCCGTGTGCACACATTGCCCAGTTGTGCAGATTCTTTAGTGTGATGTTGATTTGATTTTACTTTCAGAAAACTTCAGATTCTTTCCTTTGGCCTTATCTTCCGTAGATGACATGTGAGAAAGTCCTCGACTTGATGTGCTACATGGTGCTCCCCATTCAGGATGGAGGCAGGCCTCAGGAAGAGCCTTCAAAAACAAAGTCCAAATTTAGAAAAGGTACGGAGACAAGTTTTATTTTTATTTTGTAAAAATAGCTTTTGGGCCCAAGGCTGGGAAATTTTCTTATAATTCCTTTTAAGGTAATACTGTGATCTGCAGGGCTTGACAAAAGGTATGAAAGATTAACCCCTTGCCAAACTCTTTCTTAGCTGTGAATTCATAAGCAGCAATCTGTCTTTCTTCCAAAGTTCTCTTTGTTTATTGGGTGTGTTATCTCTTCAGTCCCGAACACCTTTTCCTTCCTTTACCCATTCTAGGGAATCAGGTTAGTTGAGTGTCTCGTACATTTCCTTCTTGGGCTATCCTGCACTTGACTTCAAGTTGCACATTGCTTGAAAAGTACGTAAACTTAGTGGTGATACAGTGGAAAGGAAGGAAGATTCACTATCACTGATCTAAATTTCCACCTTAAAAGTCAGGAAAAGTTGGGCACATTAAACCCAGAGAAAGGAGAAGACAGGAAATAATAACGATACGAGCAGAAATCAATGATGTAGAAAAATTAATAAAGCCAACAGTTGTTTTTCTGCAAAATTAATAAAACTGATCAACCCCCTAACACGACGGGTCAGGAAGATAGTGAACACTGATCACCAGTGTCAGGAGCGAAGGAGGGAGTGAAGGTCGCTGCAGAGCCTCCGGAGACCAGGAGGCACCGAGAGAGCGAGTGATGAGTGACCGGGTGCCAGGAACTCAGCAACTCACCAAAATGGCCAGAAAATAAAGAGAAAATCCGATTGTTCCCATATCTATCGAAGGAATTCAGTGTTACCAGAAACCTCCCCAGAGGGAAAACTCCAGTTCCAAATGGCTTCACTGGTGAATTCTGTCAGCATTTAGGAAGAAATAATACCAGTCCTACCTGCACTTTTTGAGAAAATAGAGGAAGAGGGAGAACTTTGCAATTCAGTTTTAAGGCCATCGTCACTCTGATAGCAAAACCAAACAAAAACATCACCAGAGAAGAACATTAAAGAGCACCCATTCTGAACATAGATGCCAAAATCCTTAACCAAATACGAGTAAGTCAAATATAGCAAATAATGTCATACAAATGACCAAGTGTATGGGGAATGATAAAGTTGTTTAACATTCCAAAATCAATAACTGTAATTCACTACATTAGCAGATTAAAAGAAAAGTCATATGATTGCCTTAGTAGGCAGAATTCAATTATGTTTGTATTTATTATTCCTGATTTTAAAAATCTTAGCAAGCTAGAAACAGGAGGGAACTTCCTTGACCTCAGACTGAACCCCGAATGCTCTCTACGATCAGCAAAATCAGGGGTGTCTGTTCTGACCCTTCATGCGAACAGGCTCACCAACACAATAGGCGAAAAGAGAAGACAAGGGAATCAGGGTTGAAAAATACTGTCTTTATTTACGGCTACATAGACAAGTCTAAGAAATCTCCAAATAAAATGACATAAAAAATACGGACTACTTAAGAATACATTTCATGAAAGCTGTGTATAATCGCGTTTGTAGATCAGCAGGTGCAATACAGTCTCATCACATCCCTACTCTGTGTTCAGTCAGTACAGCCCCAGTTGGAATCTCAGCAGACTTTTTTTTGTTTAATAGAAATTGGCAGGGCTGATTCTAAAATTTATAGAGAAATACAATCTTGAACAGACAAAACAGTTTTAAGAAAGATGAACAAAATTGGGTGACTTACCCTGCCTGAGAGCAAGACTTACTGTAAAGCTAGTTCTTAAGACAAAATTGGCACGAGAATGGCGAATCCAGAAATAGCCCCACACAAATACGGCCAAATGCTTTTCAGTGAAGGCACCACGGTGATTCAGTGAGCAAAGGAAAGGCTTTTCTGCAGGTCGTGCTGGGACAGGTGGGTTTTCATGTGGAAAGAAAGAGGGGCCTCACCTCCTCCCTTGCACGATTCACAAAAAATCAATTTGAGATGGAGCATAGACTAAGCAGAAGAGCTAAAATGATAACATTTTTAGAAGAAAAATATCTTTGCAACTGATAATAGGTAGATTCCTTAGGACCCTACACACTTTCTAGAAGAAGAAAACATGACAGCTTTGGTCGTCACGGAAGCTCCCTGAGTTACATGGCAGCTCATTATGCTATTCTGTTTATGTCTATGTGTTTGAAGGTTTCTGTAACAGAAGGTTTTTTTTTTTTAAAGATATAGCCAATACCCCTTTAGAAACGGAGTATGTCTGTGGAACAGGGACAGACCAAGTGGGTAAGACTTGGTCTAGCAGACATCAAGGCCAATTTTAAAGCCATGGGAACTAAGATGGTGTAGTTGAGCACAGAGACTGACCGATGGAACACAACACCGAGGAGGAGGTGACATCACAGCCAGTGGAGGTGACATGACAGCCAGTGGAGGTGACATCACAGCTCAGTGGGGAAGAGAGAGTGTATCCACAAGTGCAACTGGGACAGTTGATTATGAAAATGTAAAACGACAATAAAAATGAGATCTCTCTTTCAACACAAAGAAAACTGACATTTTAAGACTTAAATATGACAACTAAGACTTTCTACCTGGAAGAAAACCTTTATGCCTTCTAGCTGAAGGATTTAGGCTACAGAGAGCACATACCATAAAGGAAAAGATTTTGATTGTGGTTTAAAAACCATCGCCTAAAAACTATGTACGTGACTAATGTTAAGTAGACTTACTGTGCTAATCATTTTGCAATATATACAAATATCAAATCATTATGTTGTACTCTTGTAACTAATATGATTTTGTATGTCAGTTAGACATCAACAAAAAAAAACAGTGACTTAGAGCTACAGGTATTACCACTGAAAATGCAGTTTGCAGAAGGACGTGCGTGATACGACACCTTTTATATGGTGAACTGAAAACATGCAAAACACCCTCAGTTGTCTGCGAGTACAGGTTTCTGCGTTAAAAGTACGCAGTGTGCACTGGACGATGAGCACTGTATTGAGATTAATGGTTATCTCTAAGGAGGGAGGGAGGAAGAGAATGGTATCGGAAAGATACACAGGGACTTCATCTGAATTGGTGATACTTTATATTAAAACCTTTAAAAAGTAAAGCAAAATGTTAACATTTTATAAAGCTGAGTGGTGAGCACACTGATGTTTGTAATATTCTCTCTTAATTTTTTTATATATTTGAAATACTTATTAGTAAAAAATATTTAAGCACATTTAGGAAAGAAGATTGGTAAATGAAATCCAGAGACCATTCAAAGACTAATTTTTTAAAATTTCTCCACTAAACATAATTGTGGTTCAACTACTTATGAAACCACGTGACTGTCGCCCATCCTTTTCTTGGAGGAAAGCATCTTAAACATGTGCTTTTCAAAGCTGTTTTCTTTGGTGGTAACAAGCACACTGTGCATTTTGTTAGGTTCGGACCTGAAGCTTCTGCCCTGTACCAGCAAGGCCATCATGCCCTACTGCCTGCATTTAATGTTAGCTTGTTTTAAGGTAAGCTTAAAGGTGATTAGTGGGAGAGAAATTTAATTTAGGATATAGTTCTGATGACCCAGGATGACTTGCCTTGAGAACCAGTGTTAGTTTAGCCTCTGGAAGTGCAGGTTGGGTAGTGAGGAAAAGCACCTGGGTAGGAGTGAACAAATGTTCGTTGAATACTGACTGCATGAGGCAAAGACGCATAGGAAGTGATCCCCATCCTTGAGAAGTTTACAGATAATAGTGGGACAAATATGCAAGTAATCTTGTCTATAGCAGTGTTTAGTAAATATTTCATGAACTGATAAACAGTTCAGACTCTATTAGCTACAGAAGAAGGGGTTGTAAATGTTGGAGTGTTGGATTCATACAGGGGTGGTGAATTTATTACCATAAAGATACGGTGGGTGAAACTGTTTTAGGCATAAGGATGAGCACCAGCAAAGGCCCAGCAGCGTCAGGAAAGGGAAGGACTTGAAAGAACCCCAGGCCTTGGCTGCAGGTGCTGCACAGCCTCAGACAGGTTCATGAGCAAGGGAACAACATTGAGTCTCCACTTTAGGGTAGTAACTCCAGACTTAACTCATCAACAGATTCACTTAGGGCGACGGAAATGTTTAAAACGTGATTTTAGGCCCAGCTGCTCATTCCGACAGCAAGTCCTCTGCCTGTTTCCAGTTCACACTGCTGTCTCCTTCCTCCGTGTTGCTCACTGCCGTCCTTCTCCCCAAGTCCACCTTTTCAACTCCTCCTCTCCTGCACGGCTTCGGACCCACTCTCCACCCCCAACTGTCTCCTTCACAGAAACCCCCAGTTCTTCTCTCAGTTGTACAGACCACTCAGCTTTCTCTTGCCCTTACTCCCAAATTCAAAGCTTCAGGCCCACCGTGCATGTGCAGGGCCCGTCAGGACGCTCATGGAAACACACTGCCAGCCACCATTCCCACGGAGCCGGGGTCGGGTTGCCAAGGCTTCTCGAGCTGGGGCCCACCCTCCTCAGTAGGCAGTTGTGTGGTGTTTGCAAGGCAGGTGTGTTTTCTACCCTGTTCTCTTACTCTAAGGACCTCTCTTATGCATTTTCACAGAATAGCATTTTTTAAGGACGTGGTATTTGGTGTATTTTATTTGCCCTGTGATTTCCTTTTCCTCCCGTGTCTGCACAAACCCTTGCCTTGCAGCTGAGAGCCTTCACGGACAGCAGGGACGACATGGCACTGGGGCACGTGATCGTACTGCTTCAGCAAGAGTGGCCTCGGGGAGAGAATCTTTTCTTGAAGGCTGTCAATAAGATTTGCCAACAAGGAAACTTCCAATACGAGAATTTTTTCAATTATGTCACAAGTATCCTTTTTCTTGTTTAAACTTAAGATAGTCTGATTTTTTTAAAGGAGTGCATGTGATAAAAATGAATGAACCGTTCTGTGTAGAAATGATTTTCACTATTTTGGTGGAGAGAGAAAGAATGAGGATCAAAGTGGGACAGTGGC